GGTTCATTGGATTTCTGGATGCAGAGCCCACCAAAATGGAGAGCTGACTGCACACAGTGGTGTATGTATCTGTGCACCTTGCATTTTGTGCATCTAACATCAGACCCTGATTTCACAAATATCACTTAAGACATGGTTAAAATATGCCCTTAAAATTTAAGAGTAATGTGGTTTAAAGGGAAATGTTAAGTAACTGAGATCAGTGGGCATCTGAGTGTGACAAATGTTCTGACACACATTAACAGATGACTGCAGCCATGTGCCCCAGGTTCATAAGGCCCTTCCTACCTGAGGGGGAAGGGACTAAGTCCCCAGCCCCCCTAGAATGAGAAATGCACCGAAGGATGCTGTCCCCACCTTATCATCCTAATCACCAAAACAGGAGAGTTGGCAGGAGCAGCTACTGTGGGGCAGGTGGGCACAGGCCCCCGAAAATGGCAGAGGATGCAGTGTCCTCATATGGGACCCTGGGGTGTATCGTTGGACACCGAGTGGCCCAGCTGAAGGCAGAGGTGGCCTGAATCTGGCAGAGGTGGCTCCAGGTGGAGCTCTGTACCACATCTCCTGGGAAGGAACAAGGAGAGGCCCCAGCCTCTCAATAGGCTCCTCTCTGACACCCACCTCTTCCTGGTGCCCTCGAGAGGACAGCCTGTCCCACAGCCCTCAATGTCTCCTGTCCCCCCAGAGCCAGACATGAATCACAGGGATTTACAGCCTGGCCTGGAGTGGGATTTATGAGTCCTTCTCAAGCCCGGCACAGGAAGGGGCCACCTGTCAGCCCCCCATTGCAGCTGATTGATGCTGCTGTTTCCTGCCAAGAATAACTCCCCTCCACGGAAAGCAGCACAGGGAAAGACTCCCAGGCCTGAGGGTCCTCATCATCTGCCCTGTGTCAGATGCAGCCCCATGCCCTCCCAGTCCACATGTCCCCAGACCCCAGCCCCACGCTGACAAGGAAGCAGGCAGTTCCTGAGCTCTGCACTCCCAGGCCTGCCACTCTCCCTCTACAGGCTCCTTCAAAACAGATCCAAGATGGATATGGTGTCACAAGCCTGCCGGTAGTCCCAGCACTCTGGAGGCTGAGGCAGAAAGATTGCTGCAAGTTCAAGGCCAGTCTAGGCTACATTCAGATTTCAAGGCCAGCCTGAAGTGCATAGCAAGACCCTGCCTCAAAAAAACAAATATGAAAAATAAATAAAAATAAAACAAAACCGATTCAGCCCAGGTTCCCCTTGGATGCCTGGGGGACCAGTCCCTCCCCTCTCCAGCCATCTGCTGAACAGGCTGGGAGGACCCGACCAAGATCCCTAGGTGAGAGGCCGTCCGGACCCACCCCTGCAGTACCCACTGTCACCACAGGGTAGCAGCAGGCACCAGGCTGGGCCTGGCCTCCTTCTGTCAGAACACGTGGTCCCCCCAGGACCCTGCACTTCAGAGGAGCAACCCGAATCTGGAGAAGGGGGGACCTGTACAAGGTCACATAGCCAGGGGCGACATACCCCACGTTCCAGTGCTCTCTCCCAGCCCTTGTGCCATAGAAGAGGCTGCAGGAAGGGAGACCGAGTCGGCTGACCTGAGGTGGAGTCCTGAGTGCCTGGCTTCTGGCTGTGTGCCCTGGGCAGGCATCCACCTCTCTGAACCTCACGTACCTGGCACAGGGCGGTGCTGGATACTGCTTGGTCCTTGCAGATGTCCCACCCATGAGAGCAGGGACACTCACTCCAAGTCAGGGGTCCCTCCTGATGCCCTCCACACCTGGGTCCACCTCTCACCCCTCCTCCCAGGCCACTTGCCTGCGCCCAGTGCCAGCCGGCTCCCCTCCTCCCTGGCCCTTGCTCTCTGCCTCCCAGCCCCTTCTCTACCCAACCTGGCCCATCCCCCTCTGTCCCTCTCCGTCCCCCTCTCCTAAGGAGCCACCACCACCCACAGTGTGTTTACAGCCAGCAGCCACAGCTTTTTATTTCTCTTTGTCTCCCTTCCTCCCCTGAAGGGAAAACGCTGTTTCCCATCTCCCTGGAAGAAAGGAGAGCTCTGCAGGAGGGGAGCAAATAGAGGGAGCCCCCAGCCATGGGTCTGAACACACACATGCATGTGCACACACTCATGCATGCACATACACACGCACATGCACCCCACCACACACACACACACACACACACACACTCTGAGCCTCCCGGAATGGCCAAGGTATTCAGAGTAATTGAAAATGTTGATCTTTTTTCTGGACCATACACAGGGCAGAGGAACACGGGGAACGCAGAGAGGGGAGAGAAGGGAAGGGGAGAGGAGAAGCCAGTGGAAAGAGAGCCAGGTGGAGACTGGGACTTCAAGGACTAGGGTGGTGGCTCCCCTCGAGCAAACAGGGAGATGCACGGTGACCCCAGCCCCACATCCACCAGGACTGCTGACCAGGAGGTGGGAGCAACCCCTGGCCCTAGTGGCCCTGGTGGCCCTGGGTGACCCTCTGATTGCTGGACAGCAGAGGGTGCCTGCCTTGTCTTGGTGGGCAAAGCGCTCCTCCAGCCCAGGGCTAGAGTCTGGACCCAGCTCCTTCATGAGCACAGTGTGTACTATTGCAGGCTCCATGCACATGTGTGCGAAGTACATGTGCTTGTCCACAGCCCCCAGCCATGGGGGGAGCAGGTGTCCCTGCAGGCAGGGGCCACATCTTGCCCATCTTGCTCCTGGCCTGGCACCCATTTCTCCAGTGCCTGTGAACCTGCAGGATTAGCCTTTGGGTCCCAGCTACGCCCAATGACAGGCCAGCCCCCTGCCAGCCTCTCAGAGGGTCCTGTGACTGCAACTATACTACCAAGGCCACTTGTGCTCCCACAGAGAAGGGAGGAAACCCATGAGCCACCCAGGTACTGAGCCCCCACCCTAGTGGCTGCTCCTTCTGTCACCAAGTCATCCCTTGACCTCTGGAGACCAGTGGTGCTTGTTGAATGAATGAATGATGGTCAGGTCTGTGTGACCATGTGCCAGGTCTGAAGCCTAATGACCTGAAGGTGCAGGTCCAGGTCCTTCAGGGGTCAGTTGAAGGTTTCCTACAAGTCCAGAGGGGGGGCCCAGCCACCAGGCCAGGTCTGGAGGCAGGGTGTCCCTGGGGGGGGGCTGCTTCACTGAAAGGTCAACCCCAAGCTAGAAGCTGTCTCTCATCCAAGTGTTTCCATCCTGACCCTTCCTCCCCTCCCTTCCTTTCCCTGGAGACCACAACCCCAACCCAAGGGCCGCTCCATCCCTGGAGCTAAGTATCCACTCCTGCCCATAGCTGGTAGTGGGGAGACAAGTTCTGTCCCAACTGTCAAAAATTAGGGTTTGTCCCAAGATCAGTATCCATCCCCATGCTGAGCCCCAACTCCAGTCACAGATGGACTTCAACTGCGATCACTTACTCACCCTTGACCTGGTCACACACTGAGCCTGGACCTTTACTTAGAGACAGGCCATTAACTTCTCACATGGCCACAGTTCTTTCCAGGTTCTGGGCCTCAGTTTCCCCATGTATCCAGTAAGGGTCTTGGCCTGGGCTGGGGCTCCAAGGTGGCCCTGGTGACACATGTGCCTCAGGTACCACTACCTGCCCACCCCAAGCCCATCCGCACATCCAACCCAAGCATCACTAATTTTTGTAGCCGCCATGATAAATGGCCCTGTCGGCAAAATGACATCTTTCTAATCAGCTGCCAGACAGATGGGTCCCCGAGCGCCTGCTCCCCCTAGAGCCTGGCCAGCCTTGCTGGGGATTGTGGGAGAATAGGCTGAACACAAACACAGGGCCTGGGGCCTCGGTGTGGGGTGCTGGCAGGACCCCAAGTCAGTATGGGGGTGTTTCCTTCCTAAATATCAGACTGGGTTTAAAAACCAAATATTCCAAAGCTATTCTGTGCTTCTCTGTCCAAGCTCAGGGTTATTTATTCATTGCAAGTTTCATTTTCAGTTAGAACTTGAATATGGCTCACGTGTCCTGGGATGAGCCACTCTGTCCCTCGCTGGCTCTGAGGTGGTCTTTTCTTCCAGCCTCCTGGGACAGTGGCTGCAGAAGGACCTGGGCCTGCCTTGAGCCACTGGGACTGGGGTCTCTCGCCCCCCCTCCCCCCTCCCTGTGATGTCCCCCTTCATGAGATGGGAGGAGCTGGAGGGGGCTGGTTCCAGGGTGGCACTGAATCAGGGACAAATGCCAGCCCCTGTGTGACAGAAGAGCTGGTGGCGTCGTCACCCAACACAGGCAGCACAGCCTGGATCTGAAGATGGGGCTGCACTGCCCCCTCCTGGCTAGCAGCTCTTCTCCCAGCTGGGCTTCCACGCCTGGGGACTAAGTGATTTCCAAAAGTAGCCTGTGACCATCAGACCTTCCCATAGCCAGCAAGCCTGCCCAAGCCCATGGGGAATGCCCACCCTGGCAGCCTTCTCTCCTGCCCACGCCACCTCTGCCAGCACCGCATTTACCTGGAGAGGCTCTCGGAACGCAGCCGCCACACGGCCCGCTCTGTCCTGGGATTGGCGTCACCTCCTGCGCCCCAGGCCTGGGCCTCATTGACTCCCCACCCTGTTCGCTGTCCCTCAGCCTCTGGTCCCCTCTGCACACTGTGCTGTCCCCTTTGCCTCCGCCTTTGCCCTCCTTCACACAGTCGCTTGTCCTGTGTCCCGTGGGCCCCCCACCAGAGCGATGCCTCACACCTCTGCCTGCTCCCTACTGCTTGCTCCTCCCTGGGGTGCAGGCCACTGCCAGGGAGCAGTCATACAGTCCTTGAATTGAGGGAACCTAGCCTTTCCCCGACAACCCTTCCTGCCCAAAGTCCCAGAGAGCAGCAGGAGCTGAAAAGGCCACATGGTGTGATGTAGCTGAGTCAGGATGGACCTCAGCTCGCCACGTGCTGCCCAGCCCCAGCCCATGTGGGCCAGACAGGAACCCATAGACAGGACCAGTGTGTGGCCACCCAGGCCCGTAGCCCTCCCCTGAGCAGGGCCTCCAGGAAGCAGCGAGATGTCTGCAGAAGGAAGGAATGAACACACAAAATATTTATCTAACGCAGGCACCAGCTCTGCTGGAATAGAAAAATAACATCTGCGGGGCAGGAGGGCGACCCACAGGCTCAGTCTCGGATGTCTACCACCAGGGGGCAGAGACGGGCCGAGTGCCTGGTGCCCATGGTGAAGGCGGGTGGGCGGGGCTTGTGCAGGGTGACCCGCTGCACCTCGTGGGAGCCTGGCCCAGGCCGAGGTGTGTGGTCCAGTGGGTAGGCGTGGCGCCGCGCCATGCTGTACGCCGGGCTGCAGTTCTGGTAGACGGACGGCTCAGGCCGGGTATGAGCAGCCGGCCCAGGGCCCCCAGCCACGTCGTCCCGGTAGAACCAGGTCTTAACCATGGAGGCCAGACTGAAGCAGGGGGAGGCCCGGTGGACCGGAGTGTTGGGGCCCAGGGAGAGCGGCAGCTGGTAGCAGTTGGGGGCCGGGTTGGGGTCCATCACTCGGGAGGGGCACGGGTAGCCAAAGGTATACTGGGGAGCCCTGCGCTCGTCGGGGGGAGGGGGGGGCGGGTCTTCTCCAAGTTGTAGTGGCCAGGGGCCGGCGTGGGGCTCAGGCCTGCAGGGGACAGGGGTGGGGAAGGGGCTCTGTCCCTGGACCCCAGCTCATGGGTCTGAGGATGGAGCCGAGGCCTTGTTTAGCCACCTCAGCAGCAGGCAACGGAACAGTACAAGAGCAGGGAGAGAACAGTACAAGGACACCAGGACTGTGACACCGTGGTCATGACAAAGAACCGCCAGGGTCATCATAGCATGGGCAGCGGCTGACAGTGTGCTGACCTGGACCCTGGGACAGCACTGGCAAGGATGCCCAGCATGGCAGTGCTGCAGCCTGGACGTGAGCCTGTGGCAGGTCCTAGGTGACACACCATGACAGACAAAGTGAGGTCACAGTGTGACATCGGCATCTTGATGTGACACTGCAGGAAGATGCCATCATCCATGGATCCAGCCCCCACTTTGCCCCTGCTTGGGACCCCCAGCCTCAACCCCCCCCCTTTGCCTGGCCCAGCTTAAGCAGGCTGGTGACGCGGCCGTCCATGGGCACCTGTGGACAGCTGGACATTCCAAAGCGGGTTATTTTGGGATCCAGGAAGTAGCAGGGCCCAGGGCTGCATAGGTCTGTAATCCCTGCAGGGTGGTCACAGAAAGGCTGTCAGGAGCCTGGCCTCCTCCAGGCACCAGAAGCGAGGGCTCCCTTGGGATTCCTGCACCCCGAAGGTGCTGGGCCCCTAACTTGCTCATCTTCGAAATGGGATTTTTATCACATGACTGCTGCTCTGAAGAGCTGGTTCAGAGGAATGGATGGAATAATAGCTACAGTGGACAATAATGCCACTGCAGAGATGGTCAGAGACCAGAGCCAGTCGTGACAGCCACATGGCTATTGTTAGTACTGAAAAAAGGCCCAGGTCAGGCCAGGGAGCTCCCTGTCCCTCCCGAAGAGGGGCCCAGCAGGCACCCTGACTCCAAGCCCAGCCTCTCCTCCCACCTGCCCAGGTCTGCTGTGGGCTCTGCTCCTCTGCCATGGGGCCGCCATGCCCACCATGTCCCCACTGTCCTCCCAGGCAGCACATGGCATCCAGAGCCAAAGGACCCCACTCTGCCACCAGGGCACCAGCATCCCTTCCCAGTCCCCTGGGGACATCTGCCTTGGGCAGTGGGCGCTGGGGAAGCCTCCTTCTGTCCCACTTGGAGCAGGCCTTGTCTCCCATGTCCTGTGGCCATGGAAGAAGGCTCCAAGCCTCTCTTGTCCCCCAGCCCCAACTGTCACCCTGCCTCATGGGACGCCGGGTACACCCATTCACGCTTCTCGGAGTGCCTCTCATGCAGGGTGAGCGCCGGCCCCCGGAACAGGGAGATGTCGTGGGCCATGTAGCCCATGCACGATGGTCGCAGGTACCTGGCGGGCCCGGGACCTGGGAAGGCAGACAGGGACCTGGTCAGAGGCAGAAAGCCTGGACCCAGGGCACCCTGAGAACATCGGGGCCTGGGCTCTTCCTGCTGCCACCGAGTGCCCCAAACCCTCATCCACTGAGCTGCCTTGGGGGAAAGCAGTGACCAAGACGAGCTGCAACCTTTCAGGCAGGCGACTCTGCACCGAGTACCATGCTGAGCCTTCAACATGGATTATTCAGAGAAGCCTGCAGACCACCCTGTGAGGTGGAACATTCTTAATTTTCCCATGTTATAGATGAGACTATTGAGGCTTAGAAATATCAATCTTTTGGGGGGGCGGGGGAACCGGAGATTGAACTCAGGTCCTTAGCTTGCGAGGCAGGCAGTGGAACCACTGAGCCCTGAAATATCAATCTTTTGGGGGGGCGGGGGAACCGGAGATTGAACTCAGGTCCTTAGCTTGCGAGGCAGGCAGTGGAACCACTGAGCCCTGAAATATCAATCTTTTGGGGCATGGCGGCACACGCCTGCAATCCCAGCACTTACAGGCTGAGGCAGAAGGATCGCTGTGAGTTTGAGGCCAGCCTGGGCTACATAGTGAGTTCAAGGCCAGCCTGAACTACTAGAGGCCCTGTTTCTAAAAAATGAATAAATAAATAAATAATCCCAGTAGCTAATACTGCCTGCCTCCAGTTCAGTGTGGAGCAGTGGGTCTTCTGTAAGGCTTTGAGGGGATCCTGCAGGGGCTTCACAGTGGGGAACCCCCAACAGCAGCAGGCCAACCCTGAGACAGGGCAGCTCTCACCTCTGATCAGAGCCATGATGACCGGAGTCTGCTTCACCTCCTGCCTCCAGGGCAGCTGCTCCTCCTTTTCTGGGTGCTGGGCATAGAACACAGAGTTGCCAGCTGCCTTGGGCAGCCTCATGGCTGAAGCCAGGCGCCCCTGCCAGAGATGTGGGGGTTGGGCAGGAAGATGTTCTCCTCCAACCCCTTCTCCACAGCTGAAGCTGAGTGACGTCACGGCAGAACTTGGACACAGAAGCCTGAGTGTTTATTTCCCCAGTTGCCATGGCTCTGGGCCATGGCGTGGAATTCTACGCTTCAAGCCCAGTTGTGGAACCCTGGTCCCCAAGCAGGCTAAGCAGCCAGGGGGCCCCAGGACCTGTGGTCAGGAAAGGGAGGATGGGCCACCTGAGTTGCTCCTCCCCACAGTGGGTGCCCCAGGCTGTAGACCAGAATGGAAAAGGGGGGGTTAGGGGCTGGGGATTTAGTTCAGTGGTTCCGCTGCCTGCCTTGCAAACTCAAGGACCCTAGTTCAATCCCTGGTACCAAAAAAAAAAAAAACCAGAATGGAAAAGGGGGCTCCTACTTTCGCCCCTGCTACCTGTCTCCCCAGGTTTGGACAGGCCCTCCTTTCTGTAAAAGCCTGTTTTTCAGGCTGAGGATGTGGCTCAGGGGGACAGCAACTGCCTGGCATCTGAGGCCCTGGGTTAAATCCCCAGGATTGGGGGAAAAAATAAAAAATTACTTTTCCTTGCAAAAGATTAAGCCAACTATTTCTCACTAAGGTATGACTGTCTGACAGCCCCTTTCCCAGGGAATACTATCTTACCCTTAAAATCCATCTCTAGTTTGAAGAATACTTGGCAAATACAGGGGATGGAGGGGTAACCCTGCTGCGCAGCTGCTTCCCATACAGCTGCTACAGGACTGATAGGGCCCAGGGCTGAGGAAATGGGGGAGCTCCCCCATCCCAAGAGCCCAGGAGGTCTGAGCCGAGCCGGTCACACCCACATGTGTGACTCAGAGTGGGATTTGATATGAGTTTGGCAAAGGTCTCCACTCCAGGAACCAGAGGATGCTGGCATGGAGGGGTCGCTACCATCAGGGCACAATAAGGAAACTGAGGCCAGCCAAAGTCCGTAAGGGTCAAGACTCCCTCAAAGTGGCCTGGTGCATCCAGAGCAGAGTGGAACAGGACCTGAAGTCCTCAGGTCCAGGGTGCCCCCTACCCCATCCCGCACTTGCTCGCAGCCGCTTCTCCCCGTGCTCCTTTTCTGCATCTCCTATGCTTGGCCCACAGGCAGCCCTCGCCCCTCCAAAGTGCCAGCCCTGTCCCTCGCATCCCTCCTGTCTCAGAGTCCATGGGTGGGGGGGGCACTGGGAACGCCTCTCCTCAGCTCCCCGGGCCACCTGTCCCCTGTCTACAGACCCAGTAATCCTGAGCCTCACCCATCCCAACTCTGCCGTTCCCTGGTGGCCAGGCCTCCCCAGGGGCCACCTCCCATCAGGCCCTGCCCCCATCTCCAGGTGTCCTCAGGACCACCACCTCCATCAACGCCTTTCAGCCCCACTGTCCCCACAGCAAGCCTGGTCCCCATCCCACCCCGCACTGTCCATCCACCTGGCCTGGACCATCCTGCCTGAAGCCACCACCACGGAGACCCCAAGGTGCCAGGCCCTCCTCCTTGTCCCGTCTCTCCTCCCGAGCAGCCCCATGCTGACCCCACCCTCATCTCTGACCAACCTGCCTGCCCTGTCCCCAGAGGTTGTGCCCAGCATGGCTCCTTCCCTGCCCTCCTCCAGCCCCCACTTGCCTGCTCCTAGCAGGGAAACTGAGGCCATCAGGCTGGACTCTCCCCCGCACGCCAGACCTATACATCTGCTGTCCCTGCCTCCAATTCCCCCTGGGGTTCCACCAGTCGCCTGTCCCCAGGCTGCCTCCTCCTGTCTGCTCCTTCCTGTCACACTGTGATATCCAAAGTAACCCCACCCCAGTCTACTAAGAACGTCTCCCCTAGCCGGGCCAGGTGGCACACACCTGTAATCCCAGCACTCTGGGAAGCTGAAGCAAGAGGATCACAAATTCCAGCCCAGTCTGGCCAGTTTACTGACTTAGTGAGACCTTGTCTCAAAATAAAAACTGAAAAGGGCTGGGGATTACCTCAGTGCAGGGGCCTTGAGTTTAAAAAAGGCTTTCCTGGCCACACCCATCTCCTCCACCTGGACACACTTCCCCAGGTGGCACTTCTTGCAGTCTCTGCGTCCCCTACCTGCACCCTGACTCACCACAGGGCCTTCAGGCCCACAACCTCACCCAGCCTCAGTTTGACCAGAATCCCCCCACCTGCGTGTGGCAGCCACTCCCTGCAATGACTTCCTGCTCTTCCGGATTGGCTTCTAGGCCACGCTGGACCAAAATGACCGAGCACTGTGTCCTCACCCAGCACCAATCCCTGTTCCAGAGTGTCCTCCCAGAGCACCTGCCCCAGCCCCACCGCCTGTTCAGGGGCTCCCTGCTGGCTCCTCTACCTCCTTGAAACGGGTCAACACTGGTGAGGCTGATTCATCTTAGAGACCAACTTCACAGGGAGGAGCACTTTCTCCTCAACACCAGGGTGCAGTATCAGCCCCATGAGGGCACAGTAGATGCCGGTGGCTTCTAGGGAGACACACATCCCTTCTGGGGTGTCCCCTCGGGACGCAGAATCTGACCCTTCCCGAGGAAACCAGAAAAATCCAGATTAAGATTCAGAATAATTGTCCTGTCCTTGCCAAAAAGGACAGCGTCGTGAAAGACAGACAACTGAAGTCTTGTGTCTCAGTGACAGCCACCCAACAGACAGACAGCTAAGGGGACCCGGAAGCCGTACTTTCTCTTGTTATAAAGGATGTTGCTGGGAAAATTGGCAAAACCGGAAATAAATGCCTGCAGCTTGCTTCAAAGTCTGTTCCCATGCTAATTTCCTGATTATGATAACTGCACTCATGCTATGAAAGACTCATCCTTGTTCCTAGAACTGTTCAGAGGGGAAGGAGAATTATTTCTGCAACTCACTCTCAAATGATTCAGAAAAAAAAAATGTATATATATAGAAAAGCATTTTTAAAATGGGCTAAAACACTAACATTTAGGAAATTCAAGTGAAGAGTATATGGGAAATAATAGTTTGGCCACTTTTACATAAGTCTGAAATTGAGTGACAATAAAAAGTTTAAAAGAGCAAAGGTGTGGTGGCACACATCTGTAATCCCAGCTGCTCAGGAGGTTGGGGCAGGAGGATTGCATGTTTGAACCTAACTTAATGAGACCTAGTCTCAAAATAAAAAAATAAAAAGTTCCTGCAATCCCAGCACTAGGGAGGCTGAGGCAGGAGGATTGCTGTGAGTAAAAGGCCAGACTGGGCCACACATAGTGAGTTCAAGGCCACTCTGAACTACACAGTGAGATCCTGTCTCAAAAAAACCAAAATATAAAAATAATAAATAAATAAATAAATAAATAAATAAATAATGTGGTTCAGGGCTCTTCAAGTTCTACCCCTAGTACCACCAAAAAAAAATTTTTAAGTGAAAGAAAAAGAAAAATATATTGGCATCTCTGGGCTCAGCCCTGATCTTCATCTTGCTTTGTGCCATGATCCTCGCTCCATGCTGTTCACCTCTTCTTGCAGCTTTAATTCCATCACTGGTGCCCAGGAATCACTGAACACATTTATTTCTCTGGACCAGACTTTCTTAAGAGCATTAAGCTCATGTGTGCACCGTCTGTCCAGTGTCACCCACATTTCCCCAAGCACCTCAAATCAACACACCCAAAGACTGTCTTGTGGGGTGCCCCACCCTGTTTGTCCCAGTGCCTGAAACCATCACCCCAACCAGTGCCCCAGTCAGAACCCTGGGCTTCTCCCGGACTTTTCCTCATCCTTACTCCCCACATCCAACCTGTCCCCAGGTCACTCAGGCTTCTGTGTGAGATTCACCTGTGTCCTGGCCCCTAGCACAGTTCCTAATTCCAGGTCTGTGCTTAGGAAATACTCATGGGTGAATGGATAAGCTGAGGAACTGACCAACCAGACTGACCAACCAGAGAATCAGCACCCCTGACCTAGGAGCACAGGTGTGACGGAGGCCTACATGTCCACACCAAGAAAGGCTCAATCCCTCAAAGGACTGCTGGCCAGTGGCCTCAGTTCATCCTACACAGTCCCCACAGGCTGTTTGCTGTCCCCAGGTGAGCCATCCGAAGGAAGCAAAGCAGAAGCCCTCCCTCCTCGATGACCTGGAAGCCATACAGTGCCCTCTGGGCCACAAAGCCCAGCCCTACTCACCAAGGGAGGGGACGACAAGAGGACTTGAAAGGCAGAAGGTGGGGTCACTGAGGGTGTTCTGGAGCCTGGCTGCTACCTGGTTTGCACTGTGCAAGGGCAACTGGTGATGGGGCCAGGAGGGCTGAAGTCTGGGGTGCTGGTGTCTGGACTCAACTCTTTTTCAATTTTTTTTACTTTGAGACAATGTCTTCATCACCTTCCTCATCGCTGGAACACAACCCAACACCTATACCTTCACGGAGGAGAGGATTATTTTGGCTCATGTTTCATTCCATAGTTAGCTGGCTCTAAGACAGGACAGCGTGGCACAGGGGCCTGGTGGAGGAGGGTTGCTCAGGGCATGGTGAACAGGAAACAGAGATAAGGGAAGAGCCAGGAAGGGAGATACAGCTTCCAGGCCACGCTCCCAGTGACCGCCTCTTCCCACCAGACCCCGCCTCCTATAGCAAGTTAGCGACGAGCCCCATAATCCATCACCTTCCAAAAGCCTGACTATGAGACCACAAGGCTTTAGGGGAACATCTAGATATGATCCATAACAGACAGGGCCTAAGTTGCCCAGGCTGGCCTCGATGCGATCCTCTTGCCTCAGCCTCCCGTGTAGCTAGAACCACAAGCGTGCACCACCGTGCCCAGCTCTATCTGTCCGTGTGGGGTGCCCAGCACCCTGTCCACTTGCACCAGGTGTCTCTTGGCTGTCACCCTTGCTCTTCCTCCTAGACTCCTGAGAACTATCGTCATCTTTCTCACCACCTGGCCCTGCCTGTCAGTTTCTAACACCCCCTTCTCTCCACACCCTGGCAGCTCTGCATTTGTGGGTAGGAGAAAGGTGCAGATAGATGACCTGCTGCCAGGGGCTTGGCAAGACCATGTCTGACTCCTGAGCCCATTCTTTCCACTGCCCTGCCCA